TTGGACATAATATCTTTATTATCAGTTTTTATGTGGGCCATAATGGAGGAAGTATCACAAATATTAGGTATACATACATTTTTCTAACTACCCTACTTAGTGAAAGAGTTACAAGTGTACTACATAACTCCTCAGATTTTATATCATCTTACCTCCTATGTAGGACATTGTCAGCATTCTGATTTCTGTAATGGAACAAGAACCATGTGTTGCATTCTTCTGCCTAGAAATAGCTGTATTGACTCAAAATAAGAGTACCTTAAAAATTATAGTGTTTGGGCTGGGATTGTGGCTCAGCGGTAGAGCTCACGCTTAGCTATGGGTGGGACGCGGGTTCGATTCTCAGCACCACTTAAAAATAAAGGCATTGTGTTGTGTCCATCTATAAAAAATATTCATATTCATTCTCTCTCTCTCCCTCTCCCTTTCTCCCTCTTTCCCCCCGTTTAAAAATTATAGTGCTTTGTATTTTACAGAGTACTTTTTATATCTGATATCTTTTGAATTTTACACTCTGAGATAGGCAAAACAGTTTGTCAGCTAATCTGATGATATTAAGCTATGGATTGAATCTAGGTTAAAATTATCTGGAGTGATCAACTTCTTTGAAATTCACTCATGTACGGGAAGCATGAGCAGAGCAGATTTTAATTCTATTTAGAAATTTCTTGATTATTAGGAGAAGAACTTTTATGAGCTGTATAGTAGATACTGTTATTTTCATTTATGACAAGAGTAAGTATTTTACGTGTCTGGTTATGAAAACACTTGAACTAGTTGTCATTGGAGTATCTCCAACTCTAGATACTATTGAGAATTAACTTGGAATTTAGGAGTGTTACAAAAATGTCAATCTATTTGAGAAATGTTTTCTTGATTATGATCAGCTCAATTCATTCATACATTTACAGTTGAGGTGATTATCTGGTGGTTGTCACTCAGCCTTCAGAAATTATTCCTATCTTCCAGAATTTGTAAAAACATTGCTAGACTGAAGAAGAGTATTCTGTTTGAGCTACAGTTGAAAAAATACCTCTTTACCAATTTTTTTGTCCTTCTTTTATTGAAAGTAAATAAGAATGATTGGCATCAAATTGGCTTACTCATCCTCCCCCCCATGGCTCCTCCTCTTTCAGGTAGGTGTTAGTGTTCTCTTGCTTTGCAAACACCCAGTGAAACACCTAAAAAAAAAAAATACTTATATTTGTATTATTAAATATAAATCCTATTACTACTGATGTATTTGAAAGCTTTTATCTTTAGTTGTGAAAGATATTTGACTCTAGCTATAGGAATTTTAATCATTAGCTAGTATGTAGGGGAATAATCTGTATCCTTTTGTTATAATTAAACTCTAATGAAAAGGTCAACAATTTTTCTTTTTTTTTTCTTTTTTTAAAGAGAGAGAGAATTTTTTTTTTAATATTTTTTTAGTTTTCGGTGTACACAACATCTTTGTATGTGGTGCTGAGGATCGAACCCGGGCCGCACGCTTGCCAGGCGAGCGCGATACTGCTTGAGCCACATCCCCAGTCCGAATTTTTCAACCTCTTAATGTACAACCTTCGTATATTAGAGAGTGTCGTCTGTATCTTGTATGTTACAAATATTTTTCCTCATTTACCATTTATCTTTTGCATCATAACTCTTAAAGCAGCACTACTCCTTCGCAAATCCCAGAAGTAGCTGGGTTTCTACTGACGCCTATCTAATTGGAGTGATATCTTTTTAAGCTCTTTTATTATTTCATTCACATCCCTGGTCCAAGAGTTTCTGTTGCCTATAGATTTTGTATACACTTCTGTTAGCCAAAAACAGTGAGAGTCCTTTGGGCACAAAGAAAAGCATGGAGTCTCACACTTGAGTCATACTCATTATGAAGTGCTAATTGACTGATAGAGGTATAATTACAAATACTCTACATTTGATAATCTAGAAACTACATGGCATTCAAATGGAAGGAAGGATCATTGGCAAGGTTCTTACGTTGTAAGGTTTTGGGCTTCATGCTAAGCTTGTATCTAAAGAAGATAGTCTCCTCTTATGGGAAGCTTTAAGTCTAGCAGGAGGAGATAAATTACTTAAAACAAGGATCTGTAATTAGGAAGAGTTTCTGTGAGTGTTGTAGGTTTTTTAATGAACAGGATAAAATCTTTGGAATTTAGGCTGTAAAACAGGTCTCCAAGTAACCACAGTGAAATTCCATATCATGCACAACCACAAGAATGGAATCCTAATTGGAATAAGTTATACTCCAAATATGTATAATATATCAAAATACATTCTACTGTCATGCATAATCTAAAAATAACAGATAATAGGTTGCCAAAAAAGGCTAAGAATCACTGACTTGGAAACTTATATAACTCTTATATTCTTAATAGTTCTAAATTTCTTTTTTAGGCATTTTTATACTATATTTCCTTTAACAAACAAAGCTTTTAAATATTTGTACCACTAGTGAGATTTTCTTTTTTATTCCTTCAAAAACATTTATATAGTTATATGTCAGGAAATATTTTATTTAAAAAATGAAGCCAAATATGCACTTATTTTTTCCCATTGGGAGTTGGAGTTATCAAAGAACCAACCTTTCATATTACTTTGTTTTTGTTAATTTTTTATAGTTGTAGATGGACAGAATGCCTTTATTTTGTTTCATTTTTATGTGGTGCTAAGGATGGAACCCAGTGCCTCACGCATGTGAGGCAGGTGCTTTGCCACTGAGCTAATGCCCCAGCCCTTCATATTACTTTGTTACAGTTATTAGGTTGTAGTGAACTTACTCTGCTCCAGTCCCTCATTACCTTATTTCTCTTGTCAGCATACTTTGGCAGGAAACAGCTTATAATTCTTAATTATTCTGGCTAGAAGAGCTACCATGACACATAAAACTATCTTAAACCACTGTAGAGTGTTTTCCTTTTAATGCCCTGAAATATACAGTAGTCCTAGATTCTTATGCTTAGTATAGGAGGGAGCTAGGTTTATGTTGGAAAGTGTGTAGGAAAGAGAAAAAGTGAGGTAGTAGATCAGGACTAAAGTAACACGTAAACAGTTCAATCCTGGTATGAGGTCCTGGAAGTGACAATTTTAAACTGTAATTGAAGTAGTGTTAAAAACCACAATATAGTTGGGTCAGGATAGAAGTGGCATTGAATGTGAATTAGAAATTGGTTTCCTGTAGGTTATTAATTACAGTTCTACATAATTGCATAAAGAGTTTGAGCAGAAGTAAAGAAGTTTTGTAGATCAGACTTACGTTGCAGAAGCAGTGATTATTGTAAACTCTTTTTTTAAAAATGATACTAATCTATTTTACTTTATGTGCTACCATTGCAACTACTTGTCATCCCTGCAATTAAGAGTTATTTCCATTCACTTAAGGCTGAAGTATGTGTCTATGATTTTAAAAGAAAGCTGTAAGAGTGAGGTAGGGTACTATTTGGGATTAAGCTATAAAAAGTGCTTAGAATGTTATTAGGTTTATTCATAATTGTTATGAAATGTTGAAGACTGGCTGTAATAGCTTGACTTTTGGGAGAGGTGGAAGAGGAGGTAAAATTAAAATACTTAAATTTTTAAAAATTTTGTAATATTTTTGGTAATTTAAAGATACAAAAATAGCATAAAGAATTTAAGAATTAAACATTACAAATTTAAAGGAAGCTCCCATATACTGAATTCCCCCATGTGAAGTCCTGTTTTTCTTTTCACTAGCCTTCCCAACAGTGACTTTTCCCTTCCTTTAGGCCTGTGTGGATCTTTCTTCAAAGTTCACCTCAAGTGTGACTTATTCAATGAAATCTGACCTTTTCCATGTTAACCCTGATATGCATTGTGTATAACAGTTAAGAGCATCTAAGTAGGAGTTGAAAAGATTGTGTACCATGAGATAGAAATCTACCTTGAAATTTATTGAAAGGAAAATTAAGATTTCTATATTATACTACCTGCCAAACTGATTTGATAAACTAGATGCAAGAGTAACCTAACAAAAGAGTTTTAGGAAGATTAGTAGCAGCCTTGTGGAGCTAGGAGTTTCCAAGTAGGCTGTGAATTGCTAACTTATTTTTTTTGCTAGTTATTCTGTTAGATTTTACTTGACTTTGGAATAGTTTACCTGTTTGCAAGAAGAGAAAGGATTTGGTGGCAGAATCTGTAATTATGGGTGTTTTTGCTTTTCAGGAATTGAATCTGTAAGGGTTTTCCACTGTTGACAGTGAAGTGAATGTACTGGCTGTTAGATTTCTACTTACAGCATTGGTAATTTTTTCAATTCCCATTGGTAGAAATACAAGCAAAACTGACTAACCATTTTCTCTGAGCTATTGCAGCCCTCTACTGGTTTATGGAGGTTGCAACAATTTAGAACCATTCAGACCAGAATGTCAATAAACTGAGCAACTCACTTTCATAATCTTAGATCTTTAAAAGTTGGCTGTGCCAACCCTTTGGACTTCAGATGAGTATTTTATATACCCACTTAACTTCTGGAGGGATAATGTCTCACTCTGTCACTCACACACAAACACAAGATGATTGTACATACTAATTATGTTATTTCTAAATTCTAAATGTGGTGTTAGAATGGGATCCCTTATACGCAGATGTTTCATACTGTGAAAAAACTTTTTTAAAAAACTAATCTTTTGGGAATTTTGTGTTTTAAACATTTGAGGTATTGTTTGTTACTATTAGAAGATAAAATGCAACAGATAAACACTAATTGTTTCTTTAAATTATTTCCAAAGTATTTTTACCTCTTGCTGGAGCTAGAAGTTTAAGTCATTGTAGCCTCTTTGTTCTTATTTGCTTTTCTACCCTGTCTCACATTCTGGTTATACTTTTAAGTTGTCTCTTTGTCATCTAGTTCCTCTTAAATTCAGCTTCCAGAGTTTCAACAAGGGCACCTTTCTAAACACTGCTTGAATTATGTTACTGTCTTTTTTTAAAGCCTTATATTAGTTTTTGTCACTGTTAGTCAAACTACAGTGTGAAAAAATGTTAATATTAGGTTTTTTTCCTACTTTCTTTAACTTCATTTTTTTTTTTTTTTTAACGTCAGTGTGCTTCCGTTTTTTGATCTCCCTGCAGTGTGGCCTGCTTTATTCTGTGGGCATGCGTCACAGCTGTGCACATGCTTATTCTTCCCTATCTTAGCCTCATTCATATCTACCTGCCTTGCAGTCACCCTTAAGACTCTTTTACTGTAGTCTTCTTTTCCTCACCCCTACCCTCTATACTCAACGCTGGGTCATTCCTTTGTATCCTTATCACACTTCCCTAGCACTTATTTTTTCATATGGTAATGAATTTCATGTTTTTTTTGTCCCTTTAAAACTTAAGGCTAGGATTATGTCTTGTTTATCCTAGTTCTATTATATGGGATATAGATGCTTAGTAAATGTCAAATAAAAGAGTAACTCATGAATGAATAGTAGCTAAAAGAAATTCCCGTAGTTAAATAATTTAAAGTCACAGTTTATTTTTATTGAAGTTTTGAGAAGAATTAAAATACATTTATTTATTAGGATGCATTTGAGGAAAGGAAAGGAGGATATAAAGAATGGTAGAGCTGGAATGAACCTCATTTAAAGATGAGAAAACTAAAAACCCAGTTTATCAAAATTTCATGTTAAAACTAGAACCTGTCCTCTAATGCTCTTTTCTGCTCTGTTCATTTTTCCTAATATAGTTTGCCTTAGACTTGGCTAGGATTAGTAGATTTTGATTGTTTATATTTGAAGCAGTTGGACTGACAAAATATAATTCTATACTCTATGCTTACCTTTGTGGAAATTTGAAGGTAATGTGCTCATGAGCTAAACCAAATTAACCATTTGTTAGGTAATTTATTTTTCATAGTCTTCTGAATTATCTGCTTTTCTCAATTTTCTGGCACATATCACATTTAGCAACACCAACCAAAAGCCTGTGTTTTACTGGATTAAGCTTCTGTCCTGAATCTCTTGCTTCCTTCCTTATTCTGGTAATGGGTTTAGAAAACATGTAATTACCTTTTATTTCTTTCTTTTGCCCTCTATATCTGCCTGAAGCAAATTCATACTTGCAATCTTACATATTTTTTTTCTTGGATTTTACCCAGAACACTGTAGCTCTTCAGAATAAACTAAGCAGAAATGAGCCTATTTTATTTTTTGAATTTTTTTTTTTTGTTGTTGTTGATTGTAAAACGTAGTACACATTCAATAAAAAAAAAATATATAGACTCCTTAAGATAGACCATTAAAGTTCTTGAAGAACTCTTCACTACATTGTTTTAAGGACATTCTGGAGGACAGTTTATTGTTAAGGATCCTACTTTGCCTTTGTTTTGGTGGTGTTGCGGTTTAAATCCAGGGCCTTTCAAATACTAAATAAGTGCATACTCTACCACTGAGCTATAATGTCATCCCTGAGGCATTCTTTGCATGCTATTGGTTAAATTCTGTTTTTTGTTTGTTTTAGTATTACTAATTTCTTGGTCTGGAATGCAATCATTAGATTCTTGTGGAGGAAATGTTATGGAATAGCTGCCAGAAAAGGTGGTGGTGAAAATTAATCACTACTACTGTGAGAAGCTGTTAGAGAGAAAGCCATTCCCCTTTGATAGACTGAATTTTTGCTTGAATGACTTAAATGGTTAAAGGGAAGAGGGAGTCCTGTTAATATCTCAGAAGCATGGCCCTTTATTTTAAGGCCCTTTGCATTATTTTTTTTCAAAACCCATTTTCAGATTTGAGGTTAAGTTGTTTGGTCTTTAAGTAAGGAAATACTAATGTATATGACTAGTAGCTTATTCTTTCTTCAAAATTTTGTTTTACTTTCTTCAGGTAGAATATAAAATTCAATGATGAAGGTCAACCAAAAAGTCAGTGGTAGATCTCAGAATAGAATTTTGTACTTCAAGCTCCCAGATCAAATCACAGAGAAAGTAATAACCACGTTTCTAAGTGTATGTTTTTTGAAGGCCATTGTAATCTGTTACTGTAATTTTATAGTTGCCTCTTTTTTTCTTTTCCAGATAAATTTTGGAGAAAAATTTTTATCTCCAAACTGCTGCAGCTCAGTGGAAACTGGAACTCTCATTCCGTGCTCAAAGTTTTGTTTTACTTTCTTCAAGTAGAGTGTGGAATTGGTAGTAATTTAGAAGGCAGATTTGAATATTTTGGATTATGTACCAATGACTATACTCAGATAATTTTATTTACTTTTCATAGCCTTGTGAGTTGAACTTTATCATTTCATAATACAAATGATGAAATTAATTTGGGTTTTGCGTTCAATTGCATTTAAAGTGCATGTGCTGAACAGGGGAAAACCCCTTTTTCAAATATAAAAAAATGCTAGAAAGAAAACATAAAAATTCACAGCTGAGCTTGAATGCAAGAAAGAGTAATCTCCTGGTGCCTAAAATGAAAAGGAACTCAAAGTGATAGCAGTAAACAAAAATTGAAGCCAGGTCCCATAGGGAAAATAAACAGATGCTCCTTAGTGTGTAAACTTTAGTTTAGTGGTAGAATCCACTGGCCTAGCAATAGCAGAGAGTTGAAACTAGGTTCCTTGAATAAAATCCCAGACCAGGAAGACTGAATTACTCATGAATGGGGTTTTAAAAAAGGCCCATGTACCAGCCTGAGTTTATATTTCTTGGTATATCTTGTTTCTGTTCTTTTATTTTCAATCATTTTTAGAGTCCTTTTGTAGTCTGTCTTAAAAATGTGGCTAAATCCTCTTTATCCACTCTCAGAGACTTTTAATCTTTTGATTAGTTGTATTTATTGTCATCACACATATATTGGAAATTATATTTCTATTTACCAATTTTTAAATATTTTTATGCCTTCTGTCACATAGTATTATGTTTTCAAAAGCATAATTTGATTTATTTTATTGATTCTGATACTGATTTTCCATAGTTGGTTTCTTTTTTTCTTTTTTCTTTATTTTGGTGGTACACACCCTTGTTTATAAAATATATGAAGACTGGAAAAGTCAACATCAGCAAATAATGCAATTAAAAATTAACAAAACACATACACCGGTATTTCATTGGAGAGGATAATCAAATGACAAATGAATATATGAAAAAATACCTAGCATTATGTGTTGGTAGAGAATTTCACATTAAAACCATAATGGGATACCTAAGAGATGGCCATTGGTACTAGTGTGTTGTGTGTGTGTGTGTGTAATGCATGTATTATTTTTGTTTTAAAATAAAAAGTGTTAAATAATAAAATAAATCTATTTCTGTGTACTATATGATAAAGATAGAATGAACAATTGCAGCAATTGTTCCAACAATCTTTTCTTTGAGTCTGACAGCAGGACTGTTCAACTGTTTTCCAAAATATTACATCATGAAACATATCCTTTACCCAATTTTCCACTGACCTTCATGTCAGGTGTGCTTTTTTTTCCCCAACAGTATCAGTAATTAATTTAAATATAAATGATCTATATAGTAATTAAAAGGTATAAATGTTCAACATGTGTAAAAAGCAAACTATATGCTCTATACATATGTCACACTTTAAATATCAACATACTAGTAGGTTAAAGGCAGAAGAAGGAAAATAAGCATGAAAAATCTGAAGTAGAGCTATTAATGTAAAATAAATCTCAAGAAAAAGTATTTTCAGGGTTGGGGTTGTGGTTCATAGGTAGAGCGCTAGCCTACCATGAGTGAGGCACTGGGTTTGGATCCTCAGCACCACATTAAAAAAATAAAATAAAATAAAGATATTGTGTCCACCTATAACTAAAAAAAAAAAAAGTATTTTCAGAGATAAAAGGGAACATTTCATAGCCATAATAGGGTATGAAAGTATAATAATGCTAAGTGTATAGCTACCTAACAACAAAATTGCAAAATATATGAAATAAAAATAAAACAAGAAAGACAAATCCACGTAATATTTGGAGATTTTAAGCCCCCTCACTTTGCTGGAAGGAGTAATGATATAGAAGGCTTACTACTACTATCAGACACTTTGACCTATTATTTATAGAGAACTATACAAAAAATGACAAATAGAAAATTAATAAAGATAGACTATATTCTGTCATAAAATAAGCTTTGAGAAAGATTAAAAATTTGAAATTGTGCAGACTATGTTTTCTGCATGATTTATTACATTAGAAATCAATCACCTTAAGATATACAGAACTCCACCCGCAGGTCTCAACTACTTCAAAATTAAATGGCACACATATAAATATTCTACAGATAAAAGAAGAAAGCACAAGAAAAGTAAATAAAAAGTGATTTGAACTGAGTGATAATAGCAGCTTAAAATATCAGAATCTCTGGTATGAAATAGTACTCAGATGCACACTTATAACTTAAAAGTATTTGTATCAGAAAGAAGCTATAATAACAATCAAATTATTTTCAAATTAGGTAGTAGGAAGGAAAAAATAAGAGTAGGAGCAGAAATATGTGAGTAGAAAAGAAATACATCTAAAAGTTGATAAAAATCTAGCAAGTCTAATCAAGATAAAAAAAGCAAGAAAGAATATCAACAGGAAGAGAGCTATCAAAACAACCCCTCATATGCTAAAATTGTATTAAAGTAGTATTACAATTGAATAATTACAAATATATAGCTTACATAATTTGATTTATTTTAGAGGATGGAAACCCTTGCTTGTTTATGCAATACATGTGAGTGATATGTTTTTTTCCCCCATCCTTTCACCTTCAGTCTGTGGATATCTTTGCCTGTGAGTTGAGTCTTTTGGGTACAGCATATTGTTGGGTCTTGTTTTTTAATCCAGTCTGCGTTTTTTTGATTGATGAGTTTAGTCCACTAATGTTCAAGGTTATTCTTGAGGTATTGTTTGTGTTCCTGGTTATTTTGGTTTATTTTTAGTTTTTAATTTGAATTAGTTTTTCCTATGACTGACCATTCCTTCAGTATAGTTCCTCCCTTTGATGGTTTTCACTTTTTTTCCCCCATTTCATCATCATGGAATATTTTGTTGTGAATATTCTGAAGTACAGGCTGTCTGGTTGTGAATTCTTTGAATTTTTGTTTATCTGGAGGGTTTTTATTTCATCTTCAGACCTGAAGCATAATTTTGCTGGATATAGGATTCTTGGTTGGCATCCATTTTCTTTCAGAGCTTGGTATATGTTATTCCAGGACCACATAGCTTTGATGGTCTGGGTTGAGAAATCAGCTGAGATCTGAATTGGGTTCCTTTTATATGTAATCTGATATTTTTCTCCTTCAGTCTTTAAAATTTTATCTTTATTCTGTAAGCTAGGTGTTTCATTATAATGTGCCTTAATGTTGGTCTGTTGTAATATTGCACATTTGGGGCCGTGTAAGCCTCTAGTATTTGGTTTTCCATTTCATTCTTTAGCTTTTGGAATTTTTCTGATATTATTTTATTGAAAAGATTGTGCATTCCTTTGGTTTGATAAACCTATTAAACATTCATGTAAAAATGTCAAGGAGGCAGTCAGATGTACAAGTGTGGCATTTTAGAGAAGTTCCTGAGCTAGAGATACAGATTTGGATGTCAGTAGCATATAGTAGTAAAGTCACAAGACTGAGTTTTCTAACTCATATATTTAGAAAGGAGCCCAGCATCAGGTGCTCAGGCATCCCACACATTTAGAAGTTCTTTAAAAGAGGAGAAATGGGGAGAAGAAGAAGAAGAAGAAGAAGAAGAAGAAGAAGAAGGAAGAAGAAGAAGAAGAAGGAAGAAGAAGAAGAAGAAGGAAGAAGAAGAAGAAGAAGGAAGAAGAAGAAGAAGAAGAAGAAGAAGAAGAAGGAAGAAGAAGGAAGAAGGAAGAAGAAGAAGAAGAAGAAGAAGAAGAAGAAGAAGAAGAAGAAGGAAGAAGAAGGAAGAAGGAAGAAGAAGAAGAAGAAGAAGAAGAAGAAGAAGAAGAAGAAGAAGAAGAAGAAGAAGAGAAAGAAGAAGAAGAAGAAGAAGAGAAAGAAAGAAAGAAAGAAAGAAAGAAAGAAAGAAAGAAGAAGGAAGAAGAAGAAGAAGAAAAGAAAGCTTCTTTTTGAGGGTTCATGTCATCTGCATAATTTTCAGTATAAAAGGGTACCATAATTTGCTTACCCATATTCTTTCAAATGGATATTTAAATCCCTGTTGTTCCCCTCCCCACACTGACCCTAGTATTTGAGGCATGATAACAACACTTCCTTGAATGCCTTTGACTGTTTATCTTATATGTTTGTGTAAATATAATGGTAGTTGAATTACTAGGACAAAAGCCATGTGTTTTTATTTTGATAGTTTCTGCCAAATTTCTCTCCAAAGAGGATATCCAAAATTTCTTCCCCTATTAGTGACTAATGTATGAAAATGCTGGTTTTCCTGAATGCTTGCCAACACAGCCTGAATCTTTGTCAAAAATTTAAGTGAGAAATTGTGTCATTATTTTATAGCTTTAAAATTATGAGTTTGAATTCTGTGTGTTCACTCAACATTTTTATTCTTTGAATTGCATTTTCTGAGTTTCATAGTTTTTTTTTTATTGATTTGCTGTAACTTTTTGATCATTCACTTCACAAGTATTGCACATGTTTTCAGACTTCCATTTATGAGATTTGCATTGTAGTTATAAATTTTTATTTAGGGCTTAAATTTTCTTTTCTTTTTTTTTGTTAGCATTTTGGAAAAGTTTCCCCACCAAAGGATTTTTTTCCCCCTAGTACTTAGGTAGTTTAATGCTTCTGGTTATTTCTTGTACTTAGGTACTAATCTTTTTTAACTTGTCAAATTGATTCTAATATTTATTTGGTGAGAATTGTCAAGATAATTTTGAAAAAGATAAATGGGGGAGAGACTAATATGAGAAAACAATAGTGTAGTATTGACACAAAATGGAGAGAGGAGTAGAACAGATTAGAAAGCCCAGAAAACAGTTACATAAAGGATTAAGATTATGATTTTCAAAGTTGTCATTACAGAGAAATAATGGGAAGACTTAAACATTAAAAGAAAGTAAAATTAAGAGTGTATCTTCTGATCTGTGGGTAGAGAAGATTAAAATGTAAAAGCAAAGGACATTAGAAAATTACAGACATCAAAAATGTATTTATGTTGTTCACTCATATTTGGCAGCATTATTGATAATAGCTGAAAGATGGATATGTGTGTTAGCATCTTGTCACTGTCGCCAAAACACTCAACAGGAACAACTTAGAAGAGAGAAAGTTTTTATTTTGGTTCAGGGTTCCTGAGGTTTAGGC